CCTTCAGTGTTAATTTTTAAACAGTTTGTTGAAAACGTTTCTATACTGCCAGGCTGATGCAGAATCTGGCCCCCTCTGCCCTACACATTTAAAGCAGTGTCATTTAAACAATAACCAGTATCTTCCCCAAAAAGAATCCTGGGAACTGTAGCCACTTAAGGTTGCTGAGCAGTGGTAACAGCAGTGCCGGATTTAGGGCACTGCGGTTGGTGTGTCCCACCACGGGCGCTGAGCTGAGGCGGTGCAAAAACAAGATCCATTTGGTAGCACTAAACATTGGCAAATTTGCACAGAGCGCCATATTGCGAAAGATTACCCAAATCCATCCCTGCCAAAAGATCCTTATTCTCTTTGCAGAGCTGCAATTCCCACAGTTGCCAGAGGGATTGCCTGTTAACCATTCTGGGAACTGTGGTTCTGGGCTTCTTGACAGCTCTCAGTATGCTTAACAAGCTACATTTCCCCAGAATTCTTTGAGGGAGGCCATGACTGTTTAAAGTGGTATCTGTTAGGTTGTGGGTGAACATATCAGATGACACAGCGATTCTTCAAACAGCTCTTGTTTATTCACAGGCCAGAACAGAACTGAAGGGTTCAGCCAGCCTGCTTATATAGAGCTCCACTACAACGCAACTGTAACACTTTCTGTAACTATCCAATCACTGAACGTCACTTTCAATCCCTTATTTGCATATGTGGACCTGAGTGAAAACTATCTACAGTATCCCCCTGCTGGCCCAGGGTGAGAACTTCAGTACATAACCTCTGCTTAAAAACCTCCAAGGAAGGAGAGTGAATGTGGCCAGTGTGGATTCGGTTTTACGTTAAGGTTACCAGACGTCCCCGTTTTCGGGGGACAGTCCCTGGATTTACAAATCAGCCCCCTGACAAAATCCATCTATTTAGTAGCAAGTTGAAAAGTGTCCCCGGATTCATTGGGGGAAAACCTGGCAACCTTATTTTACGTAGCAGCTGCACCACTACCACATATCCTGCTCTAGGAAGCCCAAACCAGGGGTCCGAAGGCCAAGTCGGATTTTTAGCTGTCCATCGAACATGTGCTCTAACGTTGCCCAAGAAGTGCTTCCTGAGGGAACTGAAACTACTTACGGTCAGTTAACATATTTAGAAACTGCAAGCTTTTCAATTCTGCCACTTCCCTTGCTCTGCATGTTTAATATGAAGAACTTAAAGAGACCCTGCTGGGCCCAGCGTCCCAACGAGTCCACCATCAGAGCCATCAATGGGGGTGGCATTAGACAACCCCTCTCTGCCATGAATTTTATTTTCCCCCAGCAAAAGGCAAAACAAACAGGTCTGGGTGTGTATGTGGGAGAGAGATAGAGAGACGTTCCCGAATCAGCATTTCCCACATTTATTTTTGGGTTTTTGTACGTGTAACGCACACAGATATCACTCCACTTTACAGGCCAAAGTGGCAGGGGAGAAGCTTCACCGTACAGTTATGAAAGATCTGTAGCTCAGAGGTGCAGAGCATGAGCTTTGCATGCAGAAGGCATCTCCTGGACCTGAAGTCTCCAGGCTGGTACTGGCCACTTGAGGCAATATTGAGCTAGATGGAGCAATGGCCTGACTCAGGGCATTCAGATAATCTGCTTCTTGAGTATCCATCCTGATTTGTTTACAAGGCGGTTAGATGACATGACATCTTTCTAGCACATTTCCCCATCACAAAAGTCTGATCCCTTTGGCTATTTCTGTGTGTGCTCCATACCCTCAAATATTTCTCCGATGAAAACAGGGACGTCCTATTCCAGGGGTCAGCAAACTTTTTCAGCAGGGGGCCAGTCCACCGTCCCTCACACCTTGTGGGGGCTGGACTATATTTTGGGGGGGAAATAATGAACGAATTCCTATGCCCCACAAATAACCCAGAGATGCATTTTAAATGAAAGGACACATTCTACTCATGTAAAAACACACTTATTCCCGGACTGTCCACCGGCCAGATTTAGAAGGCGATTGGGCCAGATCTGGCCCCCGGCCCTTAGTTTGCCTAGTAAAGGTAAAGGTACCCCTGCCCGTACGGGCCAGTCTTGACAGACTCTGGGGTTGTGCGCCCATCTCACTCAAGAGGCCGGGGGCCAGCGCTGTCCGCAGACACTTCTGGGTTACATGGCCAGCGTGACAAAGCTGCATCTGGCGAGCCAGAGCAGCACACGGAACGCCGTTTATCTTCCCGCTGGTAAGCGGTCCCTATTTATCTACTTGCACCCGGGGGTGCTTTCGAACTGCTAGGTTGGCAGGCGCTGGGACCGAGCAGCGGGAGCGCACCCCGCCGCGGGGATTCGAACCGCCGACCTTTCGATCGGCAAGCCCTAGGCGCTGAGGCTTTTACCCACAGCGCCACCCGCGTCCCTGTTTTAGTTTGCCTACCCATGTCCTATTCCATAATAATTTTACTATTTATCCCCCCACCCATCTGACTGGGTTGCCCTAGTCACACTGGGCGGCTTCTATAGAAACATAACAAAACATTAAACACACACAAAAAAAGCTTCCCTATTCAGGGCTGCCTTCAGATTTCTTCTAACGAAATCTTATTACTTATCTCCTTGGCTTGGACGTCAGTTAACTCCATACCCTCCGACATTTCTCCGGTGAAAATAAGGGCATTCTAAGGAAAAGCAGAACATTCTGGGATCAAATCAGAAACCGGGATGGCTTCTGTAAATCCAGGATTGTCCCTGGAATAGAGGGACTCTTGGGAAATCTGCTTTAAATGTATAGGGTACACCCAGACCTTTTCCTTTTCACATCTGAACACCGCGTAGCATAATGCTCTCCGAAAGCATGCAATGTCTCCTCTCAAATCCTTGCTGCTTGTCTTAGGCACAGTTTGACCCCCCCATTTCATGCTGCTTTGCACCAATTTCCCCCTACACTGGAGTAGTACCAACACTACTGCACAGCTAATCCTAGCTGGCCACATGATGACATCACTGACATCAAACGCAGCTAATGTATAGTGAGATCAATGCTTTGTGAGTCACAATACCTTCACTTTGGATGTGTGGATACTTTTGCACCCTCTTGAATGCAGCCCCCAAAGAGCTGGGGTGGGTGCTTTTTACAGGGGGGACAGAAGCGGCAACACCCCCAAAAAACACCCTGCTCCCCATTTTATCTCAGCGTTTTGTATATTTCAGTCACATCCAAGGACACAGAGTGACCAGGACAGAATGTCATGTGCCCTAAAAAGTGCTGGGATTCTGTCCAAATCCCATGCCAAGAAAAGCGAATGCCTGTAATCTGTATAATTGATGCATCAGTGCAGACTTTTCCTTAGTTTGCATAATTTTTATTTGGCTTCCGCTAGCTCCACCTGCTGATTGCTATACATTCGACTGAGCTCTGGCTCCAGAGGGTTAGCAAGATACTGGCACCATGTTTTTAAGAAGGAATCATGAGCCCTAGAAACTTGTTCCTTCTTGTTTCATAACAAAAGCCAAGATTTTAAATTTTGTAGCTGATTCCCATTTCTCATGTTAAACTTCAGTAGAAACCTGGGTAGGATACACTGTGCTCCTACGTATGAGGCTCATACCTCCATCACAAACTACGTTCTCCCACACGGAAAGCGTTTTTGGTTACATGGAAAGTGACAGCAGGCCTGGGATGGGATGTGAATCCTTTGTGTTTATTTAGTTGTTTAGAGCACATTTATATACTGTTCTTCGAGCCAAAGCCTCTCATAAATGGGAAGCCTCTGCAGCACTTAGGCTGGCTTGAGAGGTTGTAGCCCAGGGTGAGAGGACAGAGAGCCTTTTTTTTTAGGCCTAGGAAGTAGTAGCCTAAAGGTAAAATTCACATTCGTCGTTCCACCCACGTTTGCCTCTGGCCTCGCTCAACACTGGCATGTGACCCACAGAAACTGGACCTGAAGAGAATGCAAATTCCCTCCCTTAAAATGGTTCTCTATTCCTCTGTTAGAGCGGTTTTTTTGTCCCCACACAACTTGAATGGATATCCATGAGGCAACGCTATAGGGTCAAAGGCCACTAGGATTTTGCCGCCTCAGGCTCATGTACTCAAGTTTACTCAGCACCTATTAGTCTTCTTTACAACTGAAGAATTCTGCTGAACTTACCTCATTCTCAATACAAGTGAGACCAAGAGAACTACGCCCAAAAGTCTGGGAGGCCTTTAGGGGTGTAGGGGTCTGCCCCACAGCCCCCCTTGAGGTCAGGGTTGTTTAGCCCATGGCCCATATATGCCTGCCCAAACATTTCTGGTGGGCCCATAAATTTGATTTTTTTTTTCCTTTGTAAAAATGGCCGCTCCCCTCTTTTGTGTCCCTCCAGGTCCTCCACCCCAGTTTGTTTTGCCCAATGTGGGGCTTGAACCCACAACCCAGAGATGAAGAATGTCCTGCTCTGCGAACACACGCACATTTACAGCGCATGGTTCCCCCCTTTCCAAAAAAAAAAAAAAGGACCCTGGGAATTGTAGTTTGTTAAGAGTGCTGGGAGTTGCAGCTCTGCAAGGGGCTGAACTACAGTTCCCAGGAGTCTTGGGGGGGGGTCATGTGCTTTAAGCATACTGTGCATAAGCATCCCGCCCATCCATTCCTTCTTTCTTTCTCTCTCTCCAGCGCATAACTCCAAGGCTGCATCAGGTTCGATCCAGCTGCGTAATCCCATATTGTAGAGGGTTGGACTAGATGACCTGGAGGACCCCTTCCCTTCCAACTCTATGATTATACAGTATTCTAATCTTCAGAGGAAGGAAGCCGGCTGGCTCCTTGCGCCTTCTCGCTGCCCCCCTCCAGGTTCTTTTCTTCCAGCGGGCCGGCTGGGGGCAGCAAAGAGACATAGAGAGCGAGCGCTGTTCCATATACAGTAAATGTATTCTATATACACACAGCAGCGCTAGCTTGGAAAAGGAGGGGAGGCGTCAAGAAGAAAGGAGAAGGAGGAGGAGGGAGGAAAGCCCAGAGAAGCTGCTCTCTCCTCCTCCATCTCCTCCTTTTTCCTCCTCTTCCCTCCCTCTTTCCAGCTCCTCCTCCTCCTCCTCCAGCCCTTGTGTGGGACTCCATTTTCCCAGCCCCAAAGTCTCCAAGGGAAGGGGGCCGTGGGAGTGCGCAGCCAAGATGGAATAATAGAGATCTCTAGATCTTGCCTATAGCTATCTGTAGATCTATATAGCTATACAAAACCCAGCCGTGCCTCGACGACGTCGCCCGGGCGCCTCCGGATTTGGGCAGCGTTAGGATCGGCGTCTTTGTGTGCGCGCTCGCTCGCGCTCGGCTGGACAGTTTTCGCCTTGGTGGCTTTTTGCGCCCCCGCGGAATGGATGACCAAGGGAGGCTGATCCAAGCTCGGGGGGCCGTGGGGCTCCCGCCGGGCCATCCGGCCGTGCCGGGGGTCCCTAGCATGACCCCCCACTCCCTCCACGAGCCCCCCTCGGATAACGGCGAGCCGCGCAAGCAAGACATCGGCGACATCCTGCAACAGATCATGACCATCACCGACCAAAGCTTGGACGAGGCGCAGGCAAAGTTGGTTACCCTCTCGCCTTTCCGGGGCGCACGGGCTGGTGGGGGAGAGGGGGGTGCTGGAAAGTTGCCTGGGAGGGTTTCTCCCTTTGTGTGTGGCGGGGAGTAGTTTGGGATGCAAGCTGTGGGACCGAGACCTGGGGGCCGTGGGGTGGCCCGCGCTTTCCAGCGGAGTTTGGTGGTGCCGGATCTCGGGGGCGCATGTTGTGCGCCTGGGTGGAGACTTGGAAGTTCAAGGTTTCGGGCGGAGGTGCTCCAGTTTTATTGGGGTATTCCCCCAAATCCGGATTTGGGACGTGGGAAGCTGGATTGGGCAGGAACTGAACGTGGAGGGGGTGTTATTTGGGGGAACTTGATGGGGAAGAAAGATGAGGTTGAGGGTTAAGAATGGATTCCCTTGTTTGTTGCGGGGAACTTGAGTGGAGCCTCTTCAGAAAGGAGGAGAGCCTGAGGCCTGGAAGTCTGGAGCAAGTTGGCTCTTGTTTTTGTTGGGTGGAGAAGTTGGGAAGGAGGGGTTCGGATTTCAGGGGAGCCAAGCGTGGATTACAGAGAGGGTTGCTGGGGCCTGTTCCATTTGGGACTTGGGCCATTTTAGGGTAACTGAACTTGCTCTCTGGGGTTTGTAGCTTGTTGTGGGGCGCTCATATGCACAGGATGGTGTTGCTGGTAAACTGGTTTGGGAGGGGTGGTTGGTGTGGAATCCCAGGGTAAATAATAGGGGGATCTGGAATTTGGTTGAAGAGAGAGATTCTAGGGATTGCTGCTCACATTATTCCTGTGGCCCATACCTTCTCCTTAAACCACTAGACATTGCTTCCCTTCCAGATGTTTTAGTAGCCTGGCTTTTCACTCCCTGTCTGTTCACTTAGCCAAGCCACCAGATTTTCACATTTGGTTCAGGGGTATCCCAAACCCCTGAGGCTGATATTTTAGAGGGTCTCTGTTGTGTAGTTAAATATATTAACAGTTAAATTTTTGATTATATTTGGTGATATGTGCTGATCTGCAGGGAGCAAAGAATTACCTACTTGCAGATAAAACTCTTTGAAGGGTCTCATGCTGAAGTTATGACTTTTGTCTAACTTTGAATAATAAGTTTGTGTGGTTGCTGTATTTTTTATTTTTATTTATTTATATAAAAAAAAGACTTGATATTGTAGGCCAGTCTTTAGATTAGAGGCAATATTATTGGTCGGATGGTTTCTGTTTGACAGAACGATTGCCAGAAGTTTGGTTTCAGATATGCGTTTGTGTGTGGAGTGGTTTGTATCAAAAGGTCTGGACATCCAAATTCCTGGGAGGAGGTTTTTCCCCCCTGCTGGGAATTGGCACCCTGTTTGTGAGAGAGAATGCAAGAGCGGTGTGGTTAAGGGTTGTGAAGTGGCTGTTGGGAAGAGAGGTATTTTATACTGAGAAAGTTAAAATCCTCAGGGGTGTCTTTTTATTTCCTATGATCCGTGTACCTATGTGGATTAAATCCAGTGTGAGGTGAATTGTAGATATTAAGGTCTGCGGAGAGGTTTTCTGTGCTGAATTCTTGTGGGCTCTCAGGACACTGTGTTGGTCTGAACTTGGAAGTTGTGTTTTGAGGGGAGAATCGTGAGTTTGTGTGATAGTTTAAATACTGAGTTCTGTTTGGGGCAGGGGAACAAAATAATTTGAGGATTGTTTCTCTGAATATGTGCTTGTGTGCTTTGATTGTCCGGTATATCCAGGTTTTATTCAATTTCTGAGTTGCAAAACCCGAGTCCAGTGTTTTGTGAACTGAGTTATTGTTTAGAAATGGGGAAAGCTATATAACCAAAAGAATGTCAAAGGCTGCAATTATATATCAGAAGAAAGTGTTTGAAATTTGTTTTATACTGCATAAAATGGATTTTAAAAGATGAGAGATGGAGGAATCAAAGCAATGCAAAAATGTAATTCCAGTGAAGGGTAAACAGGGATCATTCCTTAAGATTCACCCCCCCTTTTTGTCCACCTTTCCTAACTTGACCAAACTTTGCCCATTTTACTGTACCTGAACACCCCTCCACATTCTTAGAAAGCATTCAACAACTGAAGGAAATATATATTTTTATTGTTTAGGCTGTTCGGGTGCTGGAATTATACTGGGAATTACTGGGGCAGAGAGGGGACTCCATTATATGTGCGAATAAACGAGGATGGATTGATTGATTGATTCGCCAGGCTCAGGCCTGCGAGCTATTGTGGAAATGGATAGAGGCTTCCTTTCTCTTTATGACAACTCCAAATCCAGTCTTTCCTCCCCTCAAAAACCACCGGCTTTATCTGCTCTCTCTCCCACTGTTTAAACTGCAGGAAACATGCCCTGAATTGTCACCGCATGAAGCCAGCTCTCTTCACCGTCCTCTGCGAAATCAAAGAAAAGACAGGTACTGTATTGTTTGGGCTCCGGGTTTGAGAGGGGCGGCTGTATGTTGTTGTTCAAATACACACACACACATATATTTGTCAACCTGTTACCAAAATAACCCCCCACAACCCACGATATTGTAGAGCGAAGAAAAGGAGGGATTGGAATGGGGATTATGGGGAGTCTGTGGTAGAGAGGAGGAAGGCAGAAGAGCCGGTGTTTTCCCTCCAGAGGTTTTTGCCAGAGGCCTGTCGTCTCCTGCGCCATCTTGACGCGTCTGAAATTTCTTTTTCCGCCTGCCTGGTTTTCTTTGTAGCAACTTTGTCCCACCACCTGCCTCCTCTCTCTGCCTCCACCCTCCGCTGTTTGACCATGGTGTATTTTTGTGTACAAGGATGGAAATGTCCCCCTATCTCCCCCCCCCCTTGCTCACACTGCCTCACTTGTAATGGGGGTCGCTTAGTCCATAAAGGGGTCTCTGGTAGCATCAGGATCTTTTGTCCACAGATAAATACCTCCCACCCCGGTCTCCCCTCCTGTCTTTGAAACTTTCATCCCCGCCTTTTCCTCCCATCACTGTTGTGTTCCCCAAAATTCTCCCTTGTTTTGGGATGCTTCCTTGACTGGCTTGCTTCTTAAGTTTTAGGCTACCCTGTGGGGTGTTCTTTTGCCGAGGGGGGTGGGATATGCAAAGTGCCTTTAAGGCTGTGTATCTGCATGAGAGAGGCAGGGAGGAGAAACTGGAGTTTCCTGCCAGCTCCTTGGAAGTTGTGCTGTGCCCAGATTAAAAAGTGAAAAGAACCCAGCAGCCCAAGCCTTAAAAGGATTAGTGAAAAGGAGAGAGCGAGAGGTTTGTGTGTGTGTGTGTTGGGATTGTCATTAAAGTTCATCCAGTCTTAAGCTGCTGGGATTTGGGCCGCATGTATCCGAAGTAATGGCCAGCTGTCTTTAGGGCCTCGTTTGGTCATCTGCACGTTTATTTAAACTGCTTAAATCCCACTCAAGTCAATAGGAGTTCGGAGGCCTCGCTGGGAGTGGGATTGCAGCCAGGAAAGCATTAAGCTGGATTCTGGAAACACTAATCTGTGTTTTAGAGAGTGAGTGTGAATACTTTTCGTTTTGTTTTGCTCAAACGTGAGCTCTGAATTGCTGATCTTCCAACCGGTGGGTTGGAACTCTCAAACGGATCATGCACTCGGGGATAAGTTGTGTCACACCGATGGTGCGCCTCCCATTTTCGTCCCTTCTGTAAGCAGCTGCTTTAGGGTGGGTTGTTGTGCTTTTTAAAAGAAGATAAAAGTCATAGATGGGAGAGAGACATGCAGGAAAATATCAACAGTGAGTCCCATTTCTTTGGGATGAAAGATAGGCCCGGAAGTTTAAAAAGCGATGGGTGAAAGCTGTGGGACTGAATGTTTTGGCGTGTGTTAATGAATGTCTTCTTGCTCGGCCCCACTCACCCATGTCATGTGACCCACAGAAGGTCGCCAAGAAAAACTTTTCCTGCCTTTGAAGTGGTCCCGGGTTTAGGCAAGCAGTCGCAGCCGAGTCCTGTGCAAGTTTGCTCAGATATTATCCCCACAAAATTCAGTGGGGCTTGTGCAGATAATTGGAGCCTGTGCATGCTTCCTTGGGAGGGAGCCCAACTGAGTACATTGGCATTTGATTCTGAATAAACGTGCCGAAGGTTTTGGCTTTTGGTTTGCTTCCTTCCCTGCAGCGTTCTCCAACCGCTGGTCCGCTCCTGATATCGCTGGGCTGCATCTCCCTATTTTCCCTGACCTTTGGCCTTGCTCACTGGGGCTGATGGGCGTTGGAGTCCCATCGTATTTGGGGAAGTTGGGGAAAACACCTTGCAGTTTCCATATGAGATGGATTTTTTGCTTCTGCAACATCACCCAAAGCAGAGATGCTGGGTAGAAGCTTGCAATTTAAAAGGCTGCTTATGAAACACGAGTGTTGTTGTCAGAAGGGAAAAGGCATCGTTCGTGTTTATAAATGGATGCATGGCATCGAGAAAATGGATAAGGAGAAGTTTATCTACTCCTGCTCTCCTACTACCTAAGGGTCAATTTCAATTTTCAGTGTTCTTCTGAAGGTGATTGACAGAAGATTTGGGGCAGATCTGTACCATACCTTTAAAACGCCCAATACACATTCAAAGCACATGACTCCGCCTGCCTCACAGAATCCTGGGAATTGCAACTTCCTCTTCTACAGCTCCCAGCACCCTTGACAATACAGTCATACCTCGGGTTACAGACGCTTCAGGTTGCGTTTTTTTGGGTTATGGACCCTCCGAAACCCGGAAGTACCGGAACGGATTACTTCCGGGTTTCGGCGGTTGCGCATGCGCAGAGGCGCTAAATCGTGCTATGCACAGAAGCACCGAATCGCAGTCCGTGGGTTGCGAACGCGCCTCCCACACAGATCACGTTTGTAACCCGAGCGTCCACTGTACACAGTCCCCAGGATTCTTTGGGGGCAATTTGTGTGCTCTGAATATGTGTCGGGTGTACTTTATAGCGTGGATCTGCCCTCAGGAACAAAAGGGGAAGTACAGGGCATGTAATTAAACTATGGGATTCTCTGCCATAAAATGGTGACAAAGGCCACTGGCCTAGACAGCTTTAAATTAAAAAAAAATTGATAAGAACATAAGAGGAGCCAGTGCCGGCCCAAATACATTTTGGCACCTGAGGCGAACCACAAAATGGTGTCCCCTCCCAGCCAGGGAACAAGAGGGCAATAAAGATCCACTTTGGGAGCAAGCGTGGGAGGAGACCAGCAGCGCCTCCTGTTGGCCAGGCGGCCACTGTAGAGGCGGGCATTGGGGGCTGCCTCCCAGGTGCCTCCCCTGATCCCTAGCTAACAGGACCAGTGTCAGGGATGATGGGAATTGTAGTCCAAAACATCTGGAGGGCTGAAGGTTGGGGATGCTGGGTTAGAGGATGCCCTGTTAGATTAGCCCAAGGGCCTGTCTGGTCCAGCCTTCTGTTCTCGCAGTGGCCAACCAGATATCGCGATGGGAAGCCCACGAGGAAAGGACCTGAATGCAACAGAACTACTTTCCCCACCTGTGGTTTGCATCAACCAGTGTTCAGAGGCATATGATCCTGAGGAGGATAAATGTATCCATGGTAACAAGAAATAATGGTTATATCCTACCTCCAGTTTTTAGATGCGTTATGCCTCTGAAATACCAGTTGCTGGGAAAATAACCTTAAGATCTGTTACAGAGGCCTTGATCAGGGGCCTGACAGCTAAGGCAATCTGTGTGGTGAGGACATGGAGCAGGGCCTTCTCGGCGATGGCCCCATACTTAAGGAATTCAGTTGCCTGGGAGGACAGTTTGGCTCCTTCCTTTGAAATCTTTTGGTGGTCCTTCAGAACCTACCTTTTTCTTTGTATCTTTTTGTGGTTGATGCAAACTGGACTGCAGAGATAGCGCTCTAAATTGCAGGAAGTATGTTTATTTTTTACCCCCGATGTGGGTTTCCCATACAAATTTGAATTAGGAAAGTGTTCCTATGAAATTGGAGTAATGTGCACTGGAATTTTTAAAGGATGTGTTGGAAATTATTTTCTGATGTGCTAGAGAGAACGAATTGAGCATGTTTAAAAATTTGGAAGCTGCTGGGTTATATTTATTAGAAGTTTGTGTCCGTTCGTTATTACTTTCGAAATGGAAAAAATAAAGCTCTGCTTGATAGGATTTTGTTCTAGAATATTATGAAATAAGTTTGGTTTTCTATATGTTATGAAACTATTCTCCTTGGTGGCTTTTGTTACTATGCACAGCTTTGTGAAGAATGTCTTCTTAAAGTGGCTTATAAATCTATTAAACTTTAAATTGGGATACGACTTGGATGCTAAAATACCGTATTTTTCGCTCTATGGGACGCACTTTTCCCCCTCCAAAAATGAAGGGGAAATGTGTGTGCGTCCTATGGAGTGAATGCAGGCTTTCGCCGAAGCCTGGAGAGCGAGAGGGGTCGGTGCGCACCGACCCCTCTCGCTCTCCAGGCTTCAGGAAGCTATCCGCAAGCCTTCGGAGCGTGGCGGGAGTGCCCGCCGGGCTCAGAAGGCTTGCGGATAGCAGCCTGCAGTCCAAATCCCGGGGAGCGCAGCGCTGCGCACCCCGGACTTTGGGCAGCTATCCGCAAGCCTTCGGAGCCCGGCGGGAGTTCCCGCCAGGCTCAGAAGGCTTGCGGACGGCAGCAAGCTCTGGGAGCGAAGGCGGGGTTGCACGCAACCTCGCCATCGCTCCCGGACCCGTTCTGGGGGCTGGGGTCGGGGGAAGCTCGGGCTTCCCTCACCCCAGCCCCGCGGCTAAAAAGGAAGCCGAGACAGCTAGCGGGATCCATCCCGCTCTGTCTTGGCTTCTGCCAAAGCCGCGCGCAGCCTCTCCCGGCTGGAGAGGTTGTGCGCAGCTAAAGAGGAAGCCAAGACAGTGAGCGGGATGCCATCCCGCTCGCTGTCTTGGCTTCTTTGCTCTTTGGGGCTGGGGGGGAAATAATTTTTTTTCTTTACCACCCCCCCCCTTAAAAACTAGGTGCGCCCTATGGTCTGGTGCGCCCTGTGGAGCGAAAAATACGGTAGGTGGGCCTTTGAACTGATCCACCAGGGCTCTTTTGATACCAATTAGATAGGGGAGGTCCTGCAGATAATGCTTCATTGAGGAAGCCAAAATTTCCAGCTGTATTAATGGAGGACAGTAGTGAGGCCTACATTGAAAAAGCCTGTTGTGAGTCTTTTCGGGTTAAACAGTTATAAACCAATTTAAGAATCTTCTTCCTATGTAAGGCAATGTAGCTAGACAGCTCAGGCATTCTCATAGTAAATCAGGGGCTGTCAAACTTTTTTTGTGGGGCGGCTTGTGGGCACATTTGTATTTTTTGAGCAAGGGCCATGGATGCAACCCCCTCTGATCCCTTTCCTTGCGAACTGGAGAGACAGAAAAAGAGAGGGTGTGAATGCTTTTCCGTGGGAGCCAGTAGACGTAATCTGAGCCTTGCA